GGAAGTGTGGGGGGGCTCTTCAGGGTGGGGCTGTGTGTGTGTGTGTGTGGAGGGGGGGCAAGCAGGAGGCGATGTCACCCTAAGACAGGGGTGGGCAAAATGTGGGCCAGTTGCGGCCCGCCAGCCCATTCTGTCCAGTCCGCGGTCTGAAAATGTAGAAAATGAGTATACATCTGCCCCTGGCTGCCTGTCATGCGGCCCTCGATGGCTTGCCAAAACTCAGTAAGCGGCTGTGTGTGTGTGTGTGTGGAGGGGGGGCAAGCAGGAGGCGATGTCACCCTAAGACAGGGGTGGGCAAAATGTGGGCCAGTTGCGGCCCGCCAGCCCATTCTGTCCAGTCCGCGGTCTGAAAATGTAGAAAATGAGTATACATCTGCCCCTGGCTGCCTGTCATGCGGCCCTCGATGGCTTGCCAAAACTCAGTAAGCGGCCCTCCGCCCAAAATAATTGCCCGCCCCTGCTCTAAGAACTCCTTGCCTCTTGCATAATTCCTGGCCCATCATGGCTACTGCAAAATAAAATCATAAAATGGCAGAGTTAATTGCAAAGCAGGTAGAAATATGGAGGTATGTACAGAAGCTTAATGCACACGACCTGGTCGAAAAATTATAGAAATCGGTTTAAGTCAAACCTGGACCGATGGAGTACCAAACTGACTTGATTTAGGTGCATGGAAATTGTGTACACTTTCCCTGTGGGGCTAGGAAAACCCAGCCCCAGGGCTGTGTTTTTCATTTCCCCGCCCTCCCCCCGCTTCCCCATCCCAAGTCCCACACCAGGCTCTTTTTCACTGCTGGCTCCAGCTCCAGGGCTGTGCTTTTCATACCTCCACCCTGCACTGGGCTGTTTTTTCACCCCCCCGCCAGCCTCTTGATCCCTCTGGACCAGCCATCCCCTCAACTCCCATCTCGCATACTGCTCCAGGTGCTGCCACTGACAGAGCCGAGCAAATAAATCCTGGTGGAGTGAGGGGCAGGAGGGATGGGGTTGTAGGTACTCAGGGGAGGTCAACAGGGCTAAAAATAGTCCCTGGTCCCTTCAAGCTCCCCAAGGCCCCATGAGCCCCCTGATCCTGCCAGATCCTCCTGGACCCCAGCAACACCCTGTGGGTTGCAACTGCCCCCTATTCCCCGTTTGCGGGCAGCCCATTCCGCCTCATGCACAGATCTAGGGATACATGCCCTCTTCCCCCCACAGAGTGCCTGCCCCCTCAACCCCACTCACGGGTTGCATCTCCTTGCCAACCCCGCTTGCGGGTCACACTTGCCCCCCGCTCACCTGTAGTAGACCCCTGATCCCCCCCCACAACCTGCCTGCCCTCCCAACCCTTCAGCTAGCCCCTGCATCCTAATTTACCTGATACTGGGCTGCCACTGAGGAGGTAAACGGCCTTATAACAAGGGCATCGGTGTCTGCTGGCTTGCAGATTTTTCTTTTTATAACTTCTGATATTTATTGATTTATTTATATCTCCCCAAAAGCCTCAGGATGGCTCACAATAGAAGGTGCAATAACTTAGAAAAACAGAATGAAATACAAAATTAAGAAGATATAATGAAAGCAAAAAAGTAAATGTGTCATGGGGAAATCTACAATGTAGATTTAGAGGAGAAGAAGCAGAGTACAGTTTTCTGGAAAAAAAATGTAAAGCAGAAAGAGAAAAAACTATAAAATTTGTAAACATCCTCAGTCTATGAATCTAATGCCGATGACAACTCTTATAGTCAGTGGATGTGCATGGAGAAATTGCCTTCAGTTTGTCTCTCCATGTTAGTAATGACCAGAGATTCTGGTTTTCTCTGATAAAAAAATTGCAAATTCTCTGATTAAAACCCCCAAATCCATGATTAAAATTAAACGCCACTATACATACATATATATATAGATATATATATATATCAATATATATATATAGGTATCAATTGAACACAGTGTTTTATTGATATATTTACAATTTTAAAACAATTTGAAAGCCTACCCGTGCCTCAATCACTATAATAAAATAAATGATAAATACCTATACATTTTGGTATTTGATTTTGGGTTTTTTATCATGGAAAGTCAGAGCTCCCCCTACCCCTTGAGCTCACCAGGACGCAGGTCCAGGCCCCTCACTGCCCACCCACAGCCCGTGGGCCCTGCTGATGCCCCTCACTCACCACCCACAGCTCCACACCTTTCCAGGCTTGCCAGAGGGGGGCCCCCAGCTGTCAGGTCTATGGGGCCAGGGACTCAGGTCTGCAGCCCCCTGCCTATCTGCAGGAGTGCCTGAGCCCCAGCTGCCACCCATGGGAGGCGGTGGCTGCTGCGGCCCCAGCGGGGAGCCCAGAGTGGAGCCCAGGGGAGGGGGCAGTTGCGGGCTCCCCACCCTGCTGCCCTCTCTTTGGGGCCTCCGCAGTGCAGCAGCTGGGCCCCGGCATGGTGGGGCAGAGCAGGGCTGGGAAGGGAAACTTGTTGCTGCCGCTGCAAGCTCTGCGGTACCCTGGTGAGGTGCCCACTGCTCACCCAGGGGCAGCAAGAGGCAAAACTCTGTGCTGCCACCCCTGCTGCTGCTGGGCAGGTAGGGGGCGCTTCATTGGGGCGGTGTTAGGATCAAAGCGGAAATGACCTTCCCCACCCAGCCCTATTCTGTCCTGCCGCACGCCTGGTCCTGTCTGCTGGGCCCCAGAGAAGGACATCTGGGGGAGGAGCCTGAGCCCACAGTGGGCAGCCTGTCCCGCCTCATGCACAGATCTAGGGATACATGCCCTCTTCCCCCCACAGAGTGCATGCAGCAATGGGAAGCCAGGCCCTCTTGCACCCAAGACAAGCTGCCTGCAGCCTCATCTTGCTCCCTGCCTGGGCCCTGCGGCTGCTCATTGCGGCCCCAGACCCCAATCCCCATGCACCGCTCAGCTGGGCAGCATTCTCAGCCCCAGCCCTATGGTGACCTCAATCCCCGCTCTCCCCGTGCCAGACTTACCTGTGGGAGCTGCTCTTCAGGCTGCCTGGCAGTCATGTGCATGTGTGAGCCCGTATATGCACATGGCACCCTGTGCCTGACTGCCCATCTCCCACTCCCCCCAGCCCCTTGCAGGCTGGAACTCTGCTGGCCCGCAGAGACCTCTTTGCAAAAGTGGAAAATCCATGTTTCTCTGTTAAAATGAAAAATCCACATTTTTCTCAGGTAAAAGGGAAAATCTGAGGGTTTTTCTGTTTTTCTGTAGGAAACTAAAAACCTGGATCCCTGGTAACGACCTTGCTTATGCTCAGAATAGAGAAACTGGATGGAGCAGAAAGCACAACCATGTAAAGCTCCACAAGGATTATCCCAACCGTATGTAAGTGTGTCTATATTCCACTATGAAAATGGAGATTTTGAGGCAAAAAGTTTGTAGATAAAACAGCTGATACCTTGTCACAGGAAACGTATTGGGGGAGGGAAGCAAGAAGTATGTTTTCAGCCTTTCACATGTGACGTTTTTGAGAGAACCTTTTTAATGACACAGGCTCAATCCCCATTGACTTTCACTGGTGGAGCGGGACTTAAAAAAAAATCTCCCTGGAGCTGCTTTCTTCTTCTGTGTGGTTCTAGAAAGAGAAGGTTTGACAGAGGAATCTGTTTGGCTGGCACACTTTCCGACTTATTTTATATTAGTTTTATGTTATGTTTTATATATTAGTGGCCTCACCACAAGTTGTATGGCATTTGGGTGCTGTGCTGCAATACGAAGGCACTTTCCTTTGTTTGCACTGACCTCCAGTGACGAGAGGAACTAGTGTCCATTGACCAGCTCATGCTCAGACTTGGCAGCTCCAGCAAAATTCCAGCATTTCATGTGGGTCCATTTAATATGTTGTTTGTCGACTTGGCAATTCACTGTTGTGCCAATAGCGGAGCTTATATTTCACTTGCTCATTTTCAAAGTGCTATGCAAACAATTAATTAATCCTTACAATACCCTGTGAGGTAGGTCAATATTATTCTCTCCATTTTGTTAATGAAGAAATGGAAGCACAGAAGGTTAAATTATTTGCGGAAAGCTCTGCAGATAAGTCCCAGGGTTTAGCTCAGACCATACCTGAAATTTTGCACCCAGGTATACTAATGAACGTGCAACCCAGGTACATCCAATGGTGTGCCCTATTCTCAATCGGATGGGACGGGTAGGCAGGAGGGGGTGCTGCGAGAGGGATGCCAGAATTTTGAGCTGATCCCTCCTTCCTCTATAGAGTTAGCCCAAGCCCAAAGTTCTTAACTATATGCGATATATTGAGTTAACAACATATATATAAAAAACTCTTCAAGATAGATATAATTACAGATATAGATACAAATATACATATACAGGTCTGTTAGTTGGAGGAAGTTGGCCCTAGGGAGGGCATTCAGGTAAGTACCCATGCCTGAGGCCCAGAAGAAGGGTGGATCCCAGGACAGTCAATCCAGCAAGTTTATACCACAAGTGGGTTAGCTAATAAAGACATCCTCACAGAGCCCATTATACAGAATTAATACATCCAACTATTTATAACACCAACAAGAACAATAGATACCTAATAGGAAACATAACTATACCAGATATTAGATGCACCCTATCTGGGTTCCAACCACTTGGTCCCTCAAATGGGATAGGGTCTTCTCCCCCTAGGCCCACTCCCCCAGGTCTCTTGCCTGGGGGCACCTCCCCTGCAGGACCTGGGTTCCCAGTAACTCACGGTCCTTCCTCTGGGGGCTGTCAATCTGGCCCATGGGTCCCTACATCGTCTCAGGCCTCCTGGAGCCATTGGCCTCAAGTTGAGGGTTCTTCCCTCTGGGCCCTGTGCCCTGCATTGGGCACCCAGGGAGCTCCTATGGGAGCCGAGCCCTCACTGGCTCCGGTTCCCCAGCCTCACGCCAGGGGTCTTTCCTCTTTCTGGGCTCTACTCTGGGCACCGGCGCTCTTTTAGTTTAATGCTGAGCCACACTGCGGGGCTCTGGTTATCCAGCCTAGAGCCGGGGCTAACTTGAGCAGCCTGAAGCTGCTCCCAGGGCCAACTCTCCATGCACCGACCTGCGCACTGTGTGGGGCCTGAGCAGCTTTGAGCTGCTCTCAGGACTGGCTCTCCGTGTGCCAATCCATGCACCGCCAAGGCTCAGGCAGGGTCCAGATGATGGTCTTCTCTGGAGCTCCTCTCTCCTTGCCATCCCTCGGCGCATCTGCCCGGTGTGCTGAGCATGCTGGGCTTTTATTTACACCGGAGGCTCCGCCTCTGAAGTCTGCCAGACCTGCAAAGTGCAGTCTTCAATCAGGTCCAGGGGCTCCTCGCATCCCCATCTCCGAGCATGGGTGGGGCAAGCCCCTCCCAGCTGTTACCTGATCGGTGGAAATATTCCACCAATCCAAAGTGTCCTTCTCCAAGCCGGGCTTGCCAGGCAAAAGCAGCGAGCCTGCCACAAAAGCTAGCTCCAGAACGAATGGAGTTTGTCTTATTAGCTTCTAGGCAGGAGCAATAAGAGAGAAGAATGCCATAGATTAAATTATAATGATGCATGCTGTAACTGCTTGTAGTCAAGCAGTGCTGAAAGGAGTTAGCTTTGCTTTTATAGAGAGATTGATGGACTTTTAGCTAAGTGTGGAGGCAGCCCAGAGACATAACTGTGCAGTGTCACCTCAGAAACTATACTAGTCCTAACAGCACCGTATACAGGCTTTCCAGATGGGGTTCATTTGGAGATTGCCCTTAGGCAGAGATATTGCATTTCAACTCAGTGGAGAAGCTGGCAGGACATCTAGTAAACTCTAGGAAAGTACGTCAAGGCCTAAGCTGTGTGGTTTTTTTTATGCGATAACACTGGAAAAAATGCAGCCTCCATGTGGAAGAGGTCAGCTGCTCAAATGGAGATTAGAGGAGAGGTATGGTGGGATGTGGTTCTTATAGAAGCCAAGAGGGTCAGAGAGGGTGCAAGGAAGCAGAAGGGAGGTGGGTGATGATGGACAGGGAAATGAGAGTATCAGAATGGGTGCTTTGAAAGTGAGGTGTGTGTTCACGTGTTCACTGCTTGATTTAATTTTGTTGCTATTCAATAGAACGTGCATTTACCAGTTATTTAGTTGGATTATTTTACTGTAGTTATCCAAGTCCTACAAAATGCACAGTATGCACATTTTTAAGCATACCCAGTGATCATACATCCTTGCAAAACAGCAACATTTGGCAACAGAAACTAATGTTTTGCTAAATGCCAAAAGTAGAGGACATTGTAGCTGGCTTTGGGATGGCAGTGGGAGCTGGCCTGTGTTTGTTAGTGAGTCAGCCTAAAAATAGCATGTGATTGAATCACGTATAATGACTTTTACAGAGCTGCTAGGGTAGCATTCTGTATTTTTAACAAGTTGCTTCTTCCTTTCTTCATGGATCCATTTTTAGACAATCCTATGTTTTAGAGGCCCCCTGGTATTGAAACACCGAATACAGTATTTCACAGGGAGAACAAACAGCTGTATTTTTCTGGTGGACCAGACATGAACAGCAGAGGCAAAAAATGAAATCCTGGCCCATTTAGATCACTGGGGAGTTTTCCACTGAATTTGGTGATTTAAGAGTTCCACCCAAAATCTGTGAGCTCACTGGAAATATCCTTTGTGGCCCCGCTTTTATTTTCCTTTTTCTTTGCCCTTATTTAGATAAATGCTCAGTTACAAGGAGCTGAAAGGGACAATATTCAATGTTTGGAGATTTTGGTAGAATGGAAATTCACTTGATTACACATCCGCCAAGCTTTTCATCTATCTAATATATATTCAGGGCAAAGGTTGTACTCCCTGCTCTTTTTATTAGAAGTAGCAGAGTAGGACTGTCAAGAGGAGCTTGCTATGAAATGAAACCTTCCTGTTTATAAATCTTTTATAGCAAATAATACACAGACAAAAAAAAAGGAAATGGAAATAGACACGTATGACCGCACTTAGCAATTAAAACTACAGCATAAGCAAGCACAGCAGGAGTTGTATGAAAACAGGAATTTTATTCTGCATGGTAAGGAAAAAATATGTTTCTATAAGGAATTTTTCTTTTTGGTTGTTGCATGAAAGGAATAAGAAGAGTATGCAGATCTGTACCTTACAAAATGCAGCTGTGTTCCATTTGGGAAGGAAAAACACTCTTCTCACTTATTTCAATGGCTCAGGATAAGCTACTTAATGTAGGCAGATCATATGATGATAAAAAGGCTTCTGTCCCTGTGGGCAGTTCAATGCAGAGAATCTCTCTCTATGGACAGAAGCCTGAGAAGTTGGCTAACAGAATTATCAGCAAAGTTGGTGCTATTCGCTTGCAATGGTATAGCCAGGTTCATAAAGGGATACAATAAATTTGTGAAGGACAGATCCATCAGCGGCTGTTAAACATAAGAGTCAGCAATGGTAATGTGTTCACTCTACCTAAGCATTATACTCATGATGATTTGGAAGGCAGGATGGGCGATGGTTATTCTGCCCTCCTTTATACTCTCCTAAAGCTCCCATGACTTGCCAGGGTCAGAGACAGGTCTATTTGTGATGTAGGGAGCAGTGGGCCTAGACCAGGGGCAGGCAATTATTTTGGGTGAAGGGCCACTTACCGAGTTTTGGCAAACTGTTGAGGGCCGCATTTCCCTCTCCGGTGCAGGGAAGCAGGAACAGCCCCATGGTCCCAGGCCAGAAGCCTCTGCTAGGCAGGGGGTTCTGGTTGTGGGGCCAGGGCTGGGCAGACCTTGCTGTTGCATCCTGCCACTAGCTTCCTCTGGGTCCTACTGCCCCTGGCTCCTGTCATCTTTGACAGGCAGCTAGGAGCAAATAAATATTACTTTTCTAATTTTTTTAGGGGCCCCACAGACCGGATAGAATGGCCTGGTGGGCCGGATCTGGCCCCCGGGCCATATTTTGCCCACCCCTGGCCTAGACCCATCCTCTCAGTTAAGGAGGCCACTAGATACACAACAAGTGATCCCTTGAGACAACAAAAATGAAAACAGGGATGGAAGTTAAGTCATAGATTCATAATAAGGGTTCAGAGGGGGGACACAAAGCAAAGCACACTAGCCAGCGTCCACTGCCCCTTAAATGTGTCCAAGGAGCCTGTGGATGCTACTCAGTGACATTCTGCCAGGACATGTGAATGAAGGACTGAAAGGAAGATGACCCCACAGTCACCCAGGTTTTCTCCAATCAGGGCCTCCTTCTTGGCCTGATAAAAGGTGAGTTTGGTCACAGCTAGGAGGAGGTTGACCAGAAGGCCCTAGGACTTGGTGGGGCCACAGATGGGAAGTGCATAAAATATAAGGTGAGGGAAAAAGTGCAGCCAGAATCTCAGGAGTAGCTGCAACCTGGGGCACTCTAAGTAGGGTCTCCCTCTGCTTATAGAAAGGACAGGTGTCGGGGGAATTGAAGAAGTGAACCAGATACATGCCTATGGAAACAGCTTTGTGCAGGAGCTGCCACCCTAGGCTCCTGATGGCTCATGAGACCAGTGTGGTCCACTAGAGACCCTTGCCTTTGCCGAGGGTGTCCCACCACTTGGTGTCTGGGTGGGATGTGAGAGTAGGATGTACAGATGGAGTGTACAGAGCATGAGTGTGTAGAGCTGGTAATGATAGGGTATACAGAAGTGGACTGGCTTGATATCTCCCATCCTGCTGAGGTGGTATGGTACAGAGGGCTATGGGGTCTGCCAACATGGGGCCTCACAAGAAGCCCTGGAGGACTGGTGGATATGGGTGGGCAGTGTCTGCCTTTGGACTGAACCTCTTCCTTACATGCAAATGCAGCAGGGTGGCCTTGATTTCCTGAGTAAGCGGTAGGATGCATACAGTGTGGGTAGCTCCATGTACCAGGCCAGCACATAAGGATCTGCCCACCCCTGCCTGACTTAGTCCAGAAGGTCCCTGATATGGGAGGTGTTGATCTGGATCATCCTCCAATGCATCCAGGCCATGTCTGTTGCTGGCACCATCACCTGTGTGTTTTTCAGCAAGGGCTCAGCCATGAAGTCTGCAGCCTGGGGTGTCCAAGCCTGGAGGAGGAGACCCAATATCTGGGCCCCGAGGCGGTACTGGTAGCAGCTTGCTAAAGCCTTGTATGGGAAGGCCTGTCAGCTAGAAGACCCATTGCTCGTATCAGAACCCCCAGTGGCAGTGGAGGAAGGCATGTCTGATGGGGCACCATGCTTCCTGGCTACTGGCACTGTAAAGGAGCCTCCAGAAGGCCTGAAGGCAGAAGGTGTGTACCTGGCTGTGAATGCATGCCAGACCCAGCCCCCCTCTTGCTGAAGGGGTGGTTCAGGGCATCTGAAGACACCCAGTATTGTCCTGGCCAGGAGAACCCCATATCCTGTCTCGGGAGGCTGGCCAGGAGGTTTGGGCACATGGGCAGGGTGTTGAACCAGTACCAAAGCATGGATAGGACAAGCTTGTTGATGACCACAGTGCTCTGTTGCAGACAGAGAGGCACTGGAGGAGTCCCATCCATGCTCACAGCTGCCCAGACACCCTAACTTTGAGTTGGTTCCAGTTCTCTGGCAGGGAGGGCTGGCAGGGGGAGAGGTGGGCCCCCCAGATAGAACAGTGAACCCATGCTGCAGTGGATGTCCTGGAGTATGGCTGGGAGTAAGCCCACCTGCCATGCATCACCCACCATCAGGCCAGAGCTTGGGCAGAAGAGGCTGTTGAATAGATAGACTGGCAGACCTCCATCTCTGCCAGGTTGCTTGGAGCACGTCATCAGCATACACTGA